GGGGGGGGGGGGGGGGGGGGGGGGGAGGGAAGACTTGTTATTATTCTGTTCGTTGATTTTAATAACAGTTGTGCACAAGAGGTGTAAAAAAACATTTTGAAAAATGATTTTTTCTTTTTATCTTTTAGCAACGTTGCTTTCCTGTCGTGAAGGGGACGAAGTGATGTTTTTAAGTTTCTGCTTACCTTTGTTTTTTTTTTTTGAATTTAATTTTTTATTGAACCGTTTCATTAGAGGGAAATAATTTTTTTGTTTTGTCTTCTTTATTCTTTTTTTCATTTAAATTCTCGAATTATTTAGTTGCCTTATTCGCCAAGTTGTTCGCCAATTTTTTGGAGTTTTTCCTTTCGATTTTTGAGTTTAATTTGCTACACTAATTATTTTAGCTGTAGTTTAATGAAAGTTTATGCAAAGAATTCATTAAAATAAAATGTTTTTATCTGAATGCACAACTTTTGTTCCGGTTTTTTCTTTTTTGCTGTCTTCTTTGTACTAGTTCTTTACTAAACGAAGAACAGTGTGAATGGGATGGAAAGACGGGAAATCTGGCGGACGGAATAAACTGTTTTCTTTGCATTTAAAATTTCATTTTGATTTCTTTGGTAGTAGCCAAATTGTATTAGAAAAACTTTCCCGTCAATAGTTTTTAAGGAAGTTCAAGGTTAAAGTAAACAGTGAGCCGGGTTTAAGGGGAGTTTAATTGTCGGTAAAGTAGTGACAAAATTTTTCGGTTGAAATGAAGACAAAGAAGTGTTGGGAAAAAATGAAAAAATTTTTTTGAAGATTTTTCGCTGTCTGAAAAGAGTGGTATGTATGCGATATTACATTCAGAGGATGAGGCATAAAGCGGCGGGGCAAGTAGTTTCTAATGAGAGAGCATAACTTTGTTTTTTGAAGTTTATGGGCGGAGCATAAATTTAAAGTGTTAATTTGCTAGTTTGATATGTAACCTATTTTGATCAATCTGCAAGCTCATGCATCGCACTTTGCTTAGTGAAGAGTGTCCTGTTATTTTACGTCAACCGATCGTTTTCTGTGTATTTTGCAGCTTAACATCTCTCACTCAACAAAATCGTCCTGTTTGATTTCTACATCATTTTTTTCTTCATGCATCGTTAAAGAACCACACCAGACCTATCATTTTCTCACAACTGTTCCAAAAACTCAGTAATTGTGGGTATAATTGCTTTTTAATGCTTTCTTTCTGTTAATGCTGCATTATTCAAAATCATTCAAAACGATTCGTTCGCGCACTGAATCGCTGTATGAATCCGCTGTCCGTAAGTTCACCTCTTTCCGCGGTGGGAAGGCACGTCGGGTACGGTATTAGTTTAGGCAAAATAACATTTCAGAAGGATTCATCTTACTGTTAAGCATTTGATATTTTTTTA